TATTCTTCAGCGGATTGATCCATTTGTCTCATATGTTGTCAAAGTATAAACACAGGACACACTCATCCCACCACCAACCTAATGACCTAATGACCCAAACCAATGGTGTATTAGCCTGTGGAAGAATCATCGCAAATGAGCTTGTTAGCTACTCTGTGTTTTCTTACAATGTGTAAGGATGGTATATTTGGACAATATAAAACAAACGTCAAAACTTGGAATTATTTCATCAAACTGTTCGAACTATTTACTGAAAAATTTTTTCGCGCTCCTCTGCAGAAAGTGAACGGTTCATTCAGTTCCTACATTTTGAGTGAAATTAATTGGTCCAAAATATCGCGTCTCACATTGATTATTCGACCAAGTAACAAGGATCCATGACATAAAATTGAAATCCTTCAGAACATCTTAAATAACTTACACCTTTCCCCCCCTGAAATCTACTCGGAACTCCACACTTCATTCTAGTCCACACCATTTGACAGAATCACTTGCATTGGGGGTGCTGGTAGTGGTGCAGTGATTTTGTCACTGTTACCGTCTTGCTTCGAACCCGACGACCACCATCCAACTTTGATGGTAGTCAGCTTTGCTATTGTCCGGTTCAATACTATGCCTAACAGCCAGGTTTTACGTGGTTCACTACTCCAAGTCCTCGGGCTTAGTTTGCCGGTTACCACCACCTAACAACAGGTCTTCGCAACCGTGCACCATACCCCGTCTGACGTTCATCACACAAAACGTGTGTAATAAGAAAACTAGACGAGAAAAGTGATCGAGGTTTTCGTGGGGTTACTACCTAGGAAAATGCCTTCTGAAGTGGCCTCTGAGTTCAATGCCAGTGTTACGTATATTGCGAGCTTATTAGCACACTTTTCCTTTTTTGTCTTTAAAATTTCAGTCAATCCCAATCGCACCAAGTGCCTGTATTGCTCTCTCGCTTGTCGATGACGGAAACTCAGCTGCGTGATGTGGAAAATCAGCTGCGGGCTATTCGAGAAGAGAATTCCCAACTGAAACACACCCGTGACGAGGCGCGTCTACAGCTACAACATCTGCGGAAATACTACCAAGAACAGATCGATAACAATCCCGAACCGAGTGAGCCGCACAAATCTGCTAAACAGCTCCAATCGACAACAATCCTGCACTCTGAAAACGATGAACTTGTGCATCAGGTATTAGCTGTCGCAATTAAGCATTGTGCAATTCCATCGCTTTTCGTTTTTCTCTTTATATACCATATTTGTTTATCGAAATGCATGGAAAACTAAATGAATATGGTTTACATGTTTTTTTCGGGTTCATAGTCAAACTAGTCCCGAGGCTGTTATAACCGGGTTTGGAGACAGACACGTTCAGTCAAATACAAATGAGCCTTGTTTAACAATTTGTTCGAAGCTGTTTCATTGTCATCCCCCGAGAAATTTCCAATATTTATATATTTATATCACGAACCAATTCATCGTGCAAATGAAGCATTAGCTGAACAGCTGTTTCTACCTGACTGGTTCTCACTAACAGCGCGAATCCATTGATCCAATTGGGAATCGAACCCGAGACCGAACAATTAGAACGCACACATACTACCCACTCGATCATTGGGCAACTGATCAGATCGTTTTTCATTCTGCCTTGACACTGTGTAACACAACCAATCTTTACGAGCATAATGTGGGTGTGATACCTCGTGCATCTGAGCACTAGCCTTCAGGGTTATGATTGGGTTAGAAAATTTCCGAACTGCCATCCAGTGCTTCTTAGCTTTCCAGCTCACGCTTCATTCACACGACGAATTCATAAAGTGATAAAATCCAATCCTCCACTACTCTCATGTAATATATGTATATATATATATATATATATATATCATTTATCATTTTATGAATTCGTCGTGTAAATGAAGCGTGATCCGGAAAGCTAAGAAGCACTGGATGGCAGTTCGGAAATTTTCTTATCGAATCACATATATATTTCACAATAAGTAGTATGTGAATGACTAGACGAAATTTCCCTGGAAGCTCACGACCGGTTTATCGGTTCTTGCCGCTCGTCAGGCATGCGTATCCGTTAATCTTTTATCAGTTCATTCATAAACCCGTACCCAGGAAGTGTATTTTCGTCTATTTACTATTCACCCGGTATTGCAAACAAGGTTATTGTGAGGAATATATATATATATAATATTTTTTTGAGTTGAGACTGTTTACCGAAGAGATCATGGTACACTAATCTTTATAATAAAGGAATTAGTCGATGTTTTGCTATTGGGTGAATATTGCTTGATTGGCCAAAGCAAAGCCGGAGAATTTTCTTTGGGGTTCACAACGGGAGTTTTTATTTAGCCAAAGCCTAAATCACAATGTAGAAGGGCGATGTTTATAAACCGTAGTCCATTGAGGGTCGGATGTTAAAGGTACCTCCAAGGTACACTTCGATGCCTAATCGAGCCGGAATTACTTTTGGTTAGTACGCCTCTTGATTTGAAGTCATAGGTTTTAGCCAACTCCCCTAGGTGAACTGCCAGTGGTCCACCAATGCGACTATAGCTCCGAATGCTGGCGTTTCGTTCTCTCAGTTTGGTGGGAAAACACCTCTACCGGGAGAGGGCAGTGAGTAGGGCTTCCACAGCAGAGGCTATGTGAGACGCTTTGTGATATAGGAATATTTGGCACGATAAAAGGGACAAGTGACCAGTTACAATCCAAGATATCCACTTCGACCGTATTGAGATATTCAATTAAAACAGAAGATAAAAGGTCAAATTTGCTCGAGTGACGAGAATTCATTTTCATTAATTTATCAACTATAAAAATCTGATTACGTATTCATCTTTGCCTCGCCTTCAGATCATAATTTGATTGTAGCAAGCGGTTATTTGCCTTTGTTGTTATTCGGCTCGCTTGTTCCCTGATATGCTTGCAAATAAGAAAACATTTTCGTTAATAACTTTGTTCTGACGCCAGTCACACTTTTCTCGATAAATTGTGACACAGTGTATCATGTAGTGCATAGGGTGGCTCAATATCGTCTTCTCAACTACCTTAGTTCTGGTATTCCTTTCTCTTCTGTAGATTGACAGCTTGAAAAGAGAAAATGCCCAACTCAAATCGGAACAAGAACTTTCGACATTACGATGCAACAGTTTGGAGGCTGCACTCCGATTACAAGATAAAAAACGAGTAGCGATGGTTTGTGGTGGCACCAAAGAGTAAGTGACATGTTTTGGGCATCATACTGAACGTGAACACGACAGTCAAAAGACAAACATTGCGCGAAAGGAATTCCATTGGTTTTGCACGTATAACAATAAACAAATCGGGACCAAATGATGTTAGGAGTGTATCGAAAAATCGATGCGCCATGTGTTGTTTTATTGTGAATGTTATAGTGTGTTATTAACATTATAACATTCACAACATTAAAAAAACTTTGTAAATATGAAATCTAATTAAGTCTTATGGGAGTGTGTGGTGTCACATAAATGACTAGAGACATGATCGAAAACCAAACACTTATAAATAATCAGGTTTGTTGTGAGCGATCGACTGCGTCTCTAGTATTCGTAGTTGGTGTTAATCACCATGATATTAAAAAGGCAAATGCATTCATGGGGTCTAAATTGTAACCGCTTTCGACCACGTAGGTGGTAAATGGGTCTGATGTCGCCCGGCGTAATGCCCCGCCTTTCACATTGGTGTCTTTTATGACTCGCTAATCAGCCCCGGAGCTAAGGTAACCCGTTTCTCACATTGTACACTATTATCGTTCCACATGCGATCCCATATTACGCTCTTTATCACAAGAGTGATTCCATACATCGTAATCTTGAATCTACTCATCTTATTTCTTCCTTTCTGAGACACAGGTAACTTCTTCACGAGATCTTACATATCTGCTCACTCGCCATACACCTTATTCGTTCCTTCTATTCAAAGCTGGTGTATGTGCGTTTGTTCACCTTTAGATTCTCTATCTGATCCCAATGTTTCCAATCACGAGCTTCAATTCTTTTTTTGAGGCCTCATGTCCCATCTTCAAACCGCCTCTTTATCGTTGTTCCAACAATTCTGAGTGTTCTCTGCTTGATTTTTTTCCACTGTGCATTAAAAATATTTTTTGAAATCGGACTCCAACACTCAGTTCACCACTCTAGGTGAGTTCCACGTTCGCTACGGCGACTGGTTGGTACACCATGCGACTGACAAAACCATAGACCGTAAAGTGGAAGCGTTGGCTTTTGAAATACGTTCCTTCACAGGAACAAGTCAAAGAGTAAATACAGAAAGAGGCAACAGAATCAGGCGTTCTATCCTTTAACCGCAGGTGCACCAACGGGACATGCGTGAATCGCGTTTGGAGCTTGGCTGTGCAGAACTTTTTTGATAGCATCTGACAGTCTTCCATGTACAATCTCTTTCACTTACTCCTGTGGAGCATCGTGTTTTGGCCGCACGACCAAGCGTCTGTCGTAGTGTATCCGTAAGCATCACTCTGCGTGATTGAGAAGTACAGTAATTAGGTCAACCACAATTGTGGTTGTGCTACACCTCGTTGATACTAATCACACCGTGAACGTGACCGCAGTTTTTGACTCCTGTACTGAGTTAGAACGGGACAGCTTAGACATGTGCATTTCCGTATCGTAGACACGGCGGAAGCAGTCAGCATCGTCTCCATGATTCCCCTTTGTGTGCTCAAAAGCAATTTATACAAGCACTCAAGCTCCCTTGACCGGACGGCCGACAAGCGACACGTCATTTAACATCCGAACAAAAGATGATTGACTCCTTACGAATTTGAGTCACCCACATTCAATTATGACGCAACCTGTTGAACGTTTAAACTACTTTCCTTTTTCTTCGTAAATCCCTATATGTGACTGACTATCATCTATATCTTATGTTGTAATGGAATGATAGTTCAGTCCAGTTCTTACAAGCATTAGTCATGCACTTTCGTGCATGATAAGGATGAAATTAAAAACGGGCTTGTTTGCCAATATGCGTTCTCATCAGGTGTTCTGTGGAAATGATATCTCTTGGTCGCCAAAACCGGAACCTTCGGGACAATAAATCAGTTTGTGAAATTATTTTACCTGATCGGTGCATCATGTCATTATCGTAGGAAGCTGAAGCTATGCTATATACCTGGATCATGGTTACTGTAAGTTGAGAGACCGATGAATTGGGACTGAACAGATATAGGTCTAGTGACTGGTCACCATCGTAAACTGGAATCCAAACAAATACTTGTGCAGAATCGAGTCAATACGTTCTCCTTCTGCGTCTTGGACTATCCTCTTTTAGCAGCGTTCAAAAACGAACCGAGCAGATGATCGGCCATCCCTCCTGTGTAAGTACTGCGCCCATGTCCACATCTGAATTGAGGGTCTACCAAGAAGCCCTACAAATTCGTCGTGTCTTCCCATCAATTTTCATCACTATCACCGGTTGAATCGACTCGAGTTATAATGCCCTGCGGTTCCATTCTCTTGATTATTTTCAACACACCATCGCGTTGGCCTTACATTAATACTCAACGTGTCATTATTGGTTTGCCGTCAACTTCCACTCTAGCAAGTTGCACATTCATACCTCCGGTGTTGTTTGAACATGCAGAAATAAGCACAGTTTGGCGAAACAATTGTTTTTCAGTAATTCCTTCTCAAGCCGTTTGCAGATTACGTACATAACATTAGAAAACAGATCACAGTTAGACACATCACCAATCATGGGTAAGAGTTTGTCATAGTCAACCGACATTTGTCATTTGATTGGTTTAATTAAGTTACGGTACCAGGATGACTGGACGGCGGACACACTGTTGTAACTAAATTAAACCAATCAAATGACAAATGCCAGTTGACTATGACAAACTCTTACCCATGATTGGTGATGTATCTAACTGTGATCTGTTTTCTAATGTTACCTATGTACTCTGTAAACGGCTTGAGAAGGAATTACTGAAAAACAATTATTTCGTCAAACTGTGTTTGTTCTAAATGATGTGATGGGAATCTTTCAGACATGCAGAAATAAATGGGGATATGTGTACATACATAGTTTGTGGAGCTCTGCTATAGAATGACAAGGAGCGTGGTCGGTCCCTGATGGATGATGGACTACTTTTGGCAAACAGAAACGGAGATGGTGTGAAGTGGTCTGCAACTGATTGCACCGTTGATAGCACTGCGCCCAGAAACGGTGGTCTAGGTCCAGTAACACCTCAAATTTATACAGAACTCGGACGGATCACACACAGTCCGTGGGCATGCAGAGTGCAGTAATACCACAGAAATAATGAACTTACGTCGATCACAGGAACGCGATGTCACATTTTTGTGTGTGTACACAGTCACTCAGGGTTCATAATGTGTAAGTAGGACAGCTGTCGTAGCTGGCGGTTGTGCAAAACTACAGCAAGATTGCTTGCTGATATCCAGAATATTAGCCTTTCCACACATGCGACACTTGACTCTTCGGAACCGGCATTGGGAACATAGACAAAAGGCGTTATAGGGCTCACACCAGTTGATATATTTGGATATACAAGGATGGTCGGTTGCGGTTTTACTTCATCACATTTGGGGGAACTAATTCATAACCGCATCGGTGGAATACGGTTACCGACTCAGTTGCCGTTGTCTGTATCAAATCATCCTGTCGCTCACTGATCTTGTGCTTTTCTGTATTCTGAAAGTTCTCATTCTAGAGCTATCTCAGCAGAAATATGAAATTGTTGATGCCGGCAAAAATACGATCACAAAATTGCTACCCCAAACGGGTACCGTTTTTGCACCGTGTCGCCTATCTGTCCAATTGGAGAATGAAATTGCCACATGGAATAATCTCTGTGAATATGCAAGAGTTGAATTTGCCTCGTCTATGCTCCTGGAGATTAGTTGGCATTGCCGAGGATTATAAATCACAGCCACTGGCAGTGAAGAAGGATGTCAATGCGCTCCTTTTTCCAACTCTCGTGGATACGACAACCGAACTCGAACCTCTCCATGTACTTCTCAATCGCGAACGGACTGCACGCCAGTTTATCCCCAGAATGCTTTGGCAGTCCATGTCGTGACACCTAGTTGCAGTGCTCGGAATACCCTAAGATTTTCCTGCACCGAGATAGGAGATAAAAGTGGTTAGTTAGTTCTTTTGGAAGGAATCCAACGGATTGAAGATTGTGCATAAGAAATGAATTGTTCATTTCAGAATGGACTAGCTAATCAGCGTTGGCGTTCACCCAGTCGTGTTATTTCTGAATGAGATTCAACGAACTTGATTAGCGCAAAATACTGCCTCCTTATCATTCGTCCTGATACTCTGACACGGGGCTCTTCAATTGGCACTATAGGTCACCATATCAACCACTCTTCCGTCATCAACTGTCCACTATCCATCCCTAAACGTAGAGCAGCCTGTGATCAAAACAAGTATCACCGCACCTCTCGCTTCGCCTCTCTGAGGTTGAAAAGATAACAGAACACACTAACGTCGCCCAATTTATATCCGGATAGATATCGCCCTTTGGAGCATACTGCAGATTATATTGAATAATACTATGAAAATAAATATCTAGTTACCGGTGAACATTTTTGACAGTCCATGTTCCTACCACTTAGGGTAAAAGGGAACATGGTTCGCTGTCTAGCGGACAGAGCACAAAAGATCTGCTGTGAGGACAGGCCAGAAGACGAGCTCTGACATTTAGGGTCAATCTTTGCACATAATAGGTATCCGGAACGTTCAGTTAATAAAATGATTCAGTGCATGGAGGACTCTACAAAATACCGTTGTAAAGAAAAGTCTGTGTACATTGCTTTCCCATTCAAGAGGAGATTATCCGACGCAATTGACCTATGCACAAAAACTTCGTGTTTTTTTCACGTCCAAGCCAATTGTATGTTTGCGATTTAAGGGCAAATTTTTTGACTCTGATCTCATTCCGTGTATATTCATTTACTCGCTCCTGTGGGACAGTGTACATAGACCGCACGGTCAGGTGATTGTCTAAAAAGAAGCGTGTGCACCATCCCGCGTGGGTGAACGCCGGAACGACTAATTCAGTCACCTAGCTGAAACAAATCACATTGAATATGGTCCAGGCTTTCCATCCCCTGCATAAAGTTCTTAGCCAATTATGAAAGGTGGTTCACCGTCGGGTGCCATCCACAAAAGGGACAATGGGGACTCGTTTGCACAGACCCCCTCTCCTGAATGTACCCAAAAATACTTTTTGCAGGCGCTACCCTGNCACACACCGTATCACGAGTAACTGCGATGATCTGATGACTGGACAAACTTATATGATTATTGTGAATCCGATTTCCAGTTTCGTGATGAAATCGATTCTAGTAGTCAGTGCTATGATTTTGTGTGTCTTAATCCTGTCTTCAAAACAATAAATATGGCTAGTATAAAAGGGGAGGATTTACAAAGAAAAAAAGGTAATTAATTAAAGTATTCAACTGTCTGTTTCATAATTGGTCCCTTATTATCACTTGCGACATTTTGTGTTCTCATTATGAGCTCTGTGGGACTGTTTAAGCATATGATGTTATCTTACTTCCCCAAGATAATTTTATACCCATTTAATTAATGTTATATACATTTTGATGTATTGGCATGAATGCAAATCTCTGTAAACGAGCTTTTTCTTCACTTTGTTGTTTTATTTGAAATGTGTCACGTAGGGCTGTTCAGACAGATCTGTGATTGTGTTTACAAAAGGGTAAGAAAATCCAATTCTCACCAAGAACTTCAAACCACTCATCCTAGGTTGCATCGAAAATGCTTGTTCTAATTTTCAAGTGTAGCAATACTGGACTACTGGAGTTGTTTAACGGAGCTCATCAATTACTGAACTTCACCGTAGAGGTGGAAGCGAACAACATATTACCTTTTCTGAATGTATCCGTGTCCAGAGAAGAAGATAGATCAGTTAGAAGATGGATCCACAGAAAGAAAGCATGGAATGGTCAATACACCAACTTCCATAGTTTCTTTCTTGTAAAATAAAAACGTAATTTATTCCGTTGTCTAGTCTTCAGAGCCCGGAAGATTTATTCATCATACACACCGGATGAAGAACTACGCTTTATCTGCCAAACGCTGCAGGACAATGGTTATTCGGGAAAGATCACTGACAACAATATTCGACTCTGTCCGGAAAAGAAAGACCCCGTCTGTGTCCCCAAGAACGAACTATTTATAAGGATTCCGTTTAAGGCAGAGTAACTCACAGAAAGCCTAATACAGTCGTTGATAACGGCGATAAATTCCACTTTCCCTGCAGCGAAGCTTAGAGCAGTGCTCTCTGCATCACCGGTAATGGGAACGCAAGTAAAAGACTGCCGAAATTGCCCTCATCCGTGGTAATTTATTTCTTTAAGTGTGTCTGTGGCCTATGTTACATAGGCCGTACGATAAGGCCTTTGTCTCAACGCGTCAAGAAGCACCACCCACTGCATCTCAAGCGCGATCCTCGGTCATCTCGTAGACACCCGTCTCAAGATTGAATCGGAGAAAGCCTTCGATGTTTTTTATCGTATCCCACTCAGTCGATCGAGGCCCCCCGAGTTTGGACACTAGCCATGGCCGAGGCGATCGCCACTCGCTGTGCCCCAAAACAACTGGTTCAAGCGCTTCAACGGCCCTGGCCCAGTGTGAAAACCAAAACAGAATAAGACGTGTCATTTGACCTGAATGGAGAAAGGTTGCATCAACTGACACAGTTAACGTTCCTACACACACACGCGCGTCCTCTTCCTTTCGAATCCGATTAAGTAGAAATTTCATCAAGTAGACAGTGTTACCATGGGGAGTCCACTAACGTTACTCTATTTAATGATCATTGTTTTATTTCATTTCTCATTTCAATCTTCTGAAAAAGAGCTTCCTGTGGTTAATGAATAAGTGATTGCAAAGGAAGTTCAGCGTCACTTAATACACCACAAACTTCTCGAATACTGGGTATACCTTTCACTTCCTTAGATCCACTGATGACATATTGGTGTATAAGTCACACACTTGGTCCTCCCCTGACGTTTCGTATCTCGCCGCTTCCCAAAGCCTCTCCTCCCGTGTTTCATCATTTGGATGCAAAGCTTCTTTTATGAACGTTCAATCTTAATTTTTTGTTTATGAATTCATTTCCAGAAAAATTACTATGAACACTCGCATTCCATGAGGTTCCGTGTTATCTCCACCTTCTTTCTTCTCTTCATTAATGATCTGTTATCCCGAACAATTAATCTCATTTATACTTTTGTTGACGATGCCAACCTTAATCGGTCTACTTCTTACATCGTCCGTGCATCTTGAATCATAATCATACCGAATCGATTGTCTGCATGTGTTTCACCAAATTCAAACCTGAGTGCAATCGCTGCTTCGGGCCCTAAAAGTCGAGTCGTTTTAAGGGTGCAGAAACCTTTTGTATGTTTGTATCACACTGGTGAAACCTGTTGCTCACTATCTGAATTTTAACTCTTATTGATTTCGTTTCAAATCCACAGTTCCACCTGGCCTTCCGTTTTTTCTCTTTCACAACCTAGTCCCCTCCTGTTGTTTTACCTGCCTCGCGTGCGTTCAGAAAAACGTCCAAAGTTTTCTGCGCGAAACGGTTTTTCACTCATTTTACTTCTCATTTCTCTAAAGTCTCCAATTCATTTGTGTACACTGCGGAGCCCGCTGTTCATCTTTAGCACTTCTGAAGCGAGTTCAACTTGAAGCCATTCATCCGGACGCTGATTCAAAATTACCTATACATCGCCGTGCGATCTCCTCACTATCGATTTTCTATCGTTATTACCACGAAGTTCACTCTGCAGAAGTTGCTGATTTGGTCTTCCCTACAGATAGATTTATTCGCAAGACTTGGTGACAAGGATTAGGTCGCTTTTACCACATGACGCGAAAAGCCGTCGAGCGTAAAATGAAAAGATTGTTTTAGATATTTTTCTCTCTCTTTGGAGCAATGTTCGAGCCGAGGCTTTCGTGTGTTCCATGGATGAGAAGCTGTCAAAATGGAGGTACTGTTCGAATCAAGTTTTCTGGTGGAAAATAGGTCGTAGAGTAGAACCATCACATCTTCGGGTTGTAAACATTTCGAGGAAAGTCAGCAAGTTTTATTTTTCCACTTCGCTGGTGAATCTCGGTTTGGACGTGCTATGTTCAGTTCAGCACCACTCGTATGCAACCACACACACAGCCTCACCCCAAAACAATCAAATATATTTCATAATTCATTTCATTTTTGTCAATTTTGTTAGTTGTTAAACGTACGCGACTGATGAGAGCATACAAAAGGGACTCGTCTTTCGCAGTGTTTTCCTTCAGACTTGCCTAATAAAACGGTGCAGTGCTTACGCTAAATGTTGAAATCACTTGTTGCAACGTTGAGCTGAACGAAACGACCGGACTACACGGGCCCCGACCAGCGATACGTGGGACAGTAGAGACCCACGAACAGAACCGTGCGACCCAGCGATATAGTAGCGATTCCGTATGCCCGACTGCGGTACCCAAAAGAGACACGACCGGACAGTAACGATAGGAGCGACCCACAGACCAGTACGATCCCCGGAACCCGACCAGGAATAAGAAGGAAGGAAGGCCTTCAGGCGAGTTTGTATATTTGGCTCGTCCAAAAAGGCGAAGAAAACGGGCGGCTCATCCGTTTATATACAATTTGGGGACCGGCCATCAATGACCTTGGAAATTAGCTTGAAAGTGGTGGGTCGCAGAAAGATGGACCACTGAAGGTCAAGAATGGCCGGTGGTGCGGAATGAGTCCAGGCGCGAAAAACCGCAAATTTAAATTTTATAATAGTCAATTTTGGTGTAAAAAATAGGGTCTATATATCATCACTGAAGTATTTGGTAATGTTATGCCAAAGGATAATCTTTCTCTCTGATGACCATTATTGTGAAAGGCTTTCAGGCGTCCCTTCATATCAGTTGGCGTAATTTGACGATTGAAGTATCTCATTCGTTGTAACTGGGACGTTTTGAATGATTACTCTTGTGTTATCTGACTGGCTTGAAATAAATAATTCAACGCTAATTTGCTCGCCGAGCTCAGCGATGAGATGACACATGTTTCAGTCCCAGCGAAGCACTACTGCTTTGACCAGAACTTGTGAATCGGTTTCAGTTGATTAGTGATTGATTTTTCGGCCAATCCAATGATACTGAGTTTTCGGCACTTTCGAGCAGTAGCAATTGATCCAAATTCATTTGGATTGCATAACTTCACAGGGTAAGTTCACCTTTTCCTATTCAGAGCTTTGACTGTGAGTTGAGGACATACAAAATGTATTCGTTGCCCTTCATTTGCACTAACTTAGTATAATTCAACGGCATATTTCACCAGTTTATCAATCTGTGAGCATTGTATCCTAGGCAAGAAGCAACTGAAGGAGTGGTGAATTATTGGCGTGATCACGTCCTCCGGCTGTTGGTGCAACTCGAACAGGCTACAATCGAACGAAAGCATGTCAACGGGCGGATCGAACGGGAACGTGCTGTCTGGGAGCAGCGACGGAAAGATGCCCAACTCGAATTGGAATCTATGAGATTGAAACTACAAGCCAGTGAGGCTGCGCTAATGGCTGCTCGTGGTCGAGTGGAGGTATGTGCTGTTGAGGCAGATATTAATGTGTTAAGCACAACGAACCGAAATAATTTTCTACACGAATTGTGAAGCTAAACTTATGTTAGTAGATACGGTAAATACGACCGTAGGTTTAAAGTTGCAAAATGTATGTGCAATGAGTACCGATTTGTCGCTGGTTTGCCTGTCTGACACAAACTTCTTTATTGGTCAATTCAGTTCACTTTTTACAACCAGTAACCATTCACTTCCGTGCTGCAATTTCAGCTGGTTGCCATTTGAATCAGGTAGTAAAGGAGGGACTGTAATGTTCAAATCGGTATAAGGGCAAAAACAGAGAATTTATGAAAGCGAAGGTGGCAAGGAGGGCGAGTTGATGCACGAGTGCCACTACGCTGTCACGTCTTACCAGTTAGTAATTCAAATCAAGTCAAGTCAAAAATCGCCTTATTCATCCTAATGGATGGATTCTCAGCTTCTTGCACTCCAGGAACATTTATCATCGCATACAGTCATAAAGAAAAAGTGAAAAAAACAGCGTCTAAAATTCAAAGGAATGTGGCGTAAAAGTTTGAAAATGGGTATCGATGATGATAGGAAATTCGAAAAGTTTTCTCTAACGGATGCCTTTAAAGCCAGAAGTCTCAAAAGATATGGGATAACGAACAAACGGTAGGCAGTGGTACGAGCATACACAAGTTTATAATGACATCTAGTTGCAGTAGTGGATACGCGTTGTTTAAGTTCTATGTGCAATGGGTGACTGATGTCTGATAGAATGTTATTGCAGTAGTTTTCGCAAGAGATAAAATGTTTGTCGGCGATAAAGTTAAGCAAGTGCAAATAGGGAGTACCGCTTGAGCGAGAAATAATTCTAATAAACCGGTGTAGAATTGTGCAATCTTTAACTCTAAGACCGGCAAATAAAACTGGGGAGCAGTAGAAAAGATTAGTAACAACACAAGAATATACAAATCGAGTGAGTAAATACAGTGGAACTTTAAAGAACGCAAGCGGAAAATAAAGAACCAAAGTCATCGAATCTTTTTCAAAATAGGGTTTAATGTGAAGTCCAAGTGAGATCTTGAGAGATATTGACATCGAGGTATTGCAGAGAAGGTACTGGGGGGAACAGGCTGGTTATCAACATAAAGTACAGAACAATTCCTTTCAAAAGGATGTAGCCGTTATCCTTTGGCTAGCGACAAGGTAACAGCTCTACATTTAGATAAACTGTGAGAAGCGGAAATCACTTTGGAATTTGGAACCTATGGTGACATCATCAGTATACTTAATAAGAAGATCATCTGGGTCAGTGGGTAGGTCACGAATATAGAAAGAGGAAAGAAAAGGGACAGAATTGCTCCTTGGAGCACCCCTGAGCTGACCGGTATGGAGTCAGGGGGCTCTCCAAGAAACTTCGTGAAGTTTGTTCTACCAACAAAATAATCTTGGAGTAGAGACAGCGTAGTAAGAGACAATCCAGCCTCTTGGAGTAGAGACAAAAGCCTGCTGCTGTCAACACCGTTAAAAGCATTACTATAGTCGAGGAAACACATACGAAATGCTGTGACGTGCATGTCTAGGGACCGCAAAACTGACTTTACCAAATGCGCAAGGGATTCTAGGGTAGAACGTTGTAACTTAGCTAAACGCACGATATAGGCAGAACATGGCTACGGGAAGCAGAAAGAAGTCCACTAAAGTAACAGTGTTTATCGACAAATAGTGTCAATGGTGGTGGTGCTAAAACCATACACAAATAAAAAAACAGCCAGATGAGCAACCAAATTACAGGGCATTGGTAACATTCCATGACAGAAGTGATGAGAACAAGGTCTACCATACAACTAAGCGTAACAGTAACACAGCAGTGAAATGCAATTGTGAGAGGTTGCGGTACGGTATGAAAATGGTTTACAATAAACTTTAGCTTCAGAATAAAACGATAGAGAAAGGAAATGCGATAGATTTAGAAAGATTATAGCAAATGTAATCAGATCAGAACGTCATGCTGGGGGGCCTTATACTTATGAAAAGACATTAGTCAGATAAGTAACAAACAAGTACACTGTGAACGTGTGTGATATAGGGGTATCGTATGTGCTTATGACGCGGGGGTCTGCAGGTTGGTCCCTAGTGACTTTGGATTTTTACTCGTAGAGCAAGCGTTCAGAAGATTTTGGCAATGAGGAAAATGCAATTCTGCGAGGGAACATATCGTAATCACAGCCTTAAAAGTCCGTCAGATACGCTATTGAAACATATAATTTTAGTCTGTAGGATGCAAGAAAAAATGTATAATTGTAGGGTAAATAAACATGGAATCTTACTCACAAGTAGTCTACTGCAAATGGGGAACAAGCTTGCAATTAGGAATACTAATTAACAGCCACTGTTTACGACAGTCAGCCATATCACTCCTTTTATGTAACCATTGATCATAATGACCCCGAGGTCCCCATCCAGGGAGCCTGACGCGACCTATAATGACCCACTTTCCCGGTTAGGGTTTTAATATCCTCATACCAGGTCTAAGTTTGACAACCGTTTACTTTTTCCCACTCATCACCTGCCTCGGCAAACAACGCGCACCGTGGCAATCTATTTGGTGACATGCGGAACACATGCCCAACCAGCATAATCTATGGAGGTCAACTTCTTGCTCCAGTGGGCGATCGCAGTTACTTAAAACTGTACTTCTAAACCTCAGCATTACTTATCCGGTTTCTGCACCATACTCAAGCTATGCGACGTAGACAGCTGGGGTTAATGTTTTTTACCGGTTCACCATCATGGGTGATTTCTGTGCAATAGAAATGACATTTATGGAAAATATGGGGCTTTTGGTAATTTAACGTTGGCAAACAAATTGCCTGAATTGGTGAACCGATTAAATTTATTGCTCCATTGAATAACAACTGTGGGTCTCATGGGTCGACTCGTGGCTAGTTAGTAAGAGTGCCAACTGTTCGTTCAGGGAAAACATTTGTTCCGCTTGGTGTGAACTACTCACCCGACGTTTGGAATTTTTGCTCATACGCATAGGGTTGACAGTGAACAAACTAAATTGCGAGTGTATTCGTCAGAGCAAAACAACGTGTCATTCACAACTGTTTCATAAACCAAGGTATAATTATTTTAGCGGCTAATGCCCGGATCCATAATAGTACAGACCCGGCTGAGCAGTCGTGTATTGATAAACTAATCAATATCAGATCGTAATTTTTCGATGATAACAACGGATAGATAGTACTGGTGTCTGTGTGTTTGATGTCAAGGAATAATCCTCAGAATAAAGAAAGTTCCGATTATTTCCTCTTCCATTATATGATCCAAGAAGAAGCGTCCACACATCTTCTTTCCTGTATGACAGAGAATAAAGTAAAGGGGATAAATATATGTGATGACCAACAGAATGCACTGGACAGCTTTTTCGTCCTGTTAAGGAACTTGTCACCAGTGTTTACTTTTTGTGGTCCTGTCATAACTCGACCCGCAAACCTTCGAGTTAGCAGTCTATGCACCTTGAGCTACATGGCGGACAGCGAACACCTTGAACGAGTGGCTCGGTTCGTTTAGACAGTGAATGTATGGATTAACCCATCCTTTTTTTACTGGTACCTTACGCTGTTGATGTTTTCCCCAAGGAGTGAAGAGCACACCCCAGATCATCAACACTGTCTGATACTGATGAAAAACCGAGTGGACTGATCCAAACATTCATCATCTAAAGGGGATAAAGGTCGTAATCCGAGAATATTTTTGCTGTACCTAGTATTACGAAAGAAATCGAGGAAAAAATATAATTGGAATTTTGATACCTGTGGATAATTGTGATGGTAGGACACCTAACAAGTCTGAAAACAATTTATTGGGCACAGAATAAGAGATGTAGGCAGTCATTAAGCGCGCACAAGGTCATACACGTAACGTCTGATGATCTACACGGTCAGTAACATTAAGGTAGAACATTAGCCAATCAAGTATAGCTCTGTACTTGTCGTAGGACTTTTCCCGGGGAGCTTCACAGCTGCTGGCTGGCCGCTTGTGTATGAAACGCACGAAGTCGTGTTCGATTGAACAAATATCCAAGTAGTGGCTGTAGAAAAGAATTGAGGAAGCAACTGTTCGTTAGTGGGCCAGTGACTGCAAACTATATTTTAGAGACCTTAGAGTCTTTGTTAAGGTGAATGGCTCTGCTTTGAACACGAGCGAGAAATTAGCAAACTGGGCGAATCTCCACCGCACCGTATTCAGATGTAGCGTTTTTCGCAAGAGTGCTCTCAAAACATTGCTAATGTTGTGAACAATTCGGACATTTCAGTTAGTGAACAACTATTCGGCCCATTGTATTATTGGAAGAATGGCCAATTGCTATAATTAAAAATCCATTATCTATTTTGATTTTTTTTATTTGTTATCCTAGGTGTTGGAAGAAGAAGTTCAAAAACAGTCTGATCGATTGCATACATTGAAGGTTGAGGAAACCGCAGAACGCCATAAATTGGTTGCATCGTTCCGTTCAATTAAGGCAAACCTGCTCACACTGGGTGAAAAAGTAAAAACCTTTATGTACACCCCGGCAGATGATTCCAGTTACCAAGGCAGTTCGGTCCCCGAACTCATGCGTCGACTCAGACAGCTCGAGAGACGTCTGAACTTTGCCAACAATCGTCTCCCATTGCTTCGCGCTCATCTTGCCCTCCGGGCAGGTATGCCCGTCGACCAGTGTGATGGTTGGGCACAGACAGATAACATATTAGTCCCCGGATGTCAGTCTGCACTAAACTTGTTCGAACTGGAGGAGTAAGTTCTCTATATAGATTTTTAAAGTAAAAGAACATTGGACTTAGCCAAAAGACCAGGCTTTTTATTCATTCCGTTAATCGCTGACGTCAACCTGCGAGACGCATGCACAATTCGAGCCGGATTGAGGCAGTGTATTAAAGGCGTGCATGAGAATGTTTTGGTTTCTTACAAGACAAACATCTTGTAATAAAGTTGTTGTAAACTGATTAGATTTTTTCAGTATTTCCACTGTTGAGTGTAATACAGTGACCATACAGTAGTCTAGGAAAAAGCCTAAATATAAAATTTCTGCGGTTTAGATTTCAGTATAACGAAAATATGTTCGGAAATGCAAAACAGTGTCGGGACAAAAGCACTATATCTCGTGGGTTTCTATGCAGATAAAGCAAATTAGTATCGCGTAGAGCGGTCGTTTCGTTTCAAAACCTCCATACCATGTAAGATGTTCTGGAACACTTCCCGATGGATGAACAGACATTTCATTGTCTAGGGCGTTCTCTAGTTCCTCCTTTTATTCATGTACCCTAGAACGGTGATAGAACGTTTGGGGGAGAATGCATCAAAAGTTCTCAACAGAGTTAGGGTCTGGGCTGAGTGCAAACCACACCATGCCTCGGAAAACAGACGATCTTCCCATCAGATGTGATGAACTGCTTTATTATACTGTTCGAACACGGCGTTCACCCGTGTAATTCTCGAATAGAGAATCGTAGACATAATCAAAGTCCTAGTGGTAGTCAACTACTGAAGCCTCTCAATATGGAGAATTGGGATTAAGACCGCAGAAGTAGCGATGAGTTTATTTAGAGAAGTCAAGGCGATTAAATAGCATGTGCAAAAATATATCATCGACTTAATAAGTAGTGATCACTCGTAGTTCATGTTCTTCTTTGCACATGATTCCATTTCGAACCACCCGGATTTTGATTGGTCCAGAATACCGTTTTTTCATTAGTTGTTCTGTACTTGTATCGCGTTCTTATCTTGCTGGCGTTAATATGGAGTGTTTGAATTACCACAACCTGACCATTCAACGCCGTTACGAGCTGTAGATAATGTTCCAGTGTGCAAAAGTACGTGAACATTTTTATTTGTCTGACCACAACGCGAGCTAAAGTGCACAATAAACGGGCCCTTTTGTGAAGTGCTGTGAAAGCTGTTCTTTTCCTGCGCCTATTTCGCGATATATGTTTTGGATTTTGCTGTATTGTTTGAATTGGAAAATTTTATCTAACAAAGCGTCCATCTCTGAAGCGTAATTCCTGGCACTGGAAGCCAAGCTTTCTAATCTGCGCTTATCTATCTCTGAACTTTTCCGAGGGGAGGGGCGTATGTGCAATAAGAACGTAGTCTGGGCTCTCCCGGCAATGCGGAGTAGACAGAGAGGTGAAACAAGCTGTCTCCAGGACTCGTATTCTCGCAGATAGAGACGATACAAGGCTTAGCAGGCGGCGTAAGGGGTAACGCGGCGACTGGAGTACGAAGCTGCGAGGGGGCCGTGGCAGACAGTTCCTCCGTGGGTCAGGGATAAAGGTAAACCTGCAAGACAAAGTAAGTAGAACGCCATGAACTCAAAAAGTCCAATAAGCTACAAGTGCTTTCTATAAAATATTACTGGCGAGGTTGCCAAGCTTTATACGCTTTCTTTTTGTCTGTTATGATTGTCTAAGATTATCAAATGCAGTGAGCCCTAATCGGTTGCATCGTTAACCCACTTTGTTAAAGACGCTTTTTCCATTCGGAAGGACAAACCATGGTCAAAATCCAAACATTCACAGTTCCTGTACATCATCGTTCTGTCACCCGGGTCGGCCCCTGGGAAAGCCCTCTCTCGCCCTCAGGAAGGTCTTTCCGGGAATGTCCAAAACGAGTGACCAGTTCCCACTCCGGAATCATCTCCCTGCGCCATATTTGTTTGTCTCGTTTGAACTGAGGGGGTGTTTTAATGTAAATTTCTTTCAACTACAGAAACAGTGCATGTGCAATAGAAATGTTTGTGATAACGAACAAAGAGTACTCGACAGCTGTTTCGTCCTGTTTGGTACTCGTCAGCAGTACGTACTTTTTGTGTTCCCGTCAAAACTGGAACCGCGAACGTCCGAGTTGGGACTTCAAACCCTTACCTCTGAGCTACACGGTCGACGGTCATCATCTTGTGTGAATGGCTCAATCAATTTTAGAGTAGCAAGCTTTGTTGGTTATCACAAACATTTCTAAAATGCATGAATTAACGATCTCACAAGGAGTGAAACCCACACCCAAAAACATCAACAGCGCCTCTTAACAAACGAATGGGCTAATGAGGTGGTTGGCACGGTGGTAACGCACACGCCTTCCATGCGATGGATCCGGAATTCACATCCCGGACGGGAAGGTGGATATGCACTACTGATGAGCTCTAATAAGAGCGAAACTCGAATCTATACCTTTTCAACTTCAAGTGAATCCAGCCAGTCGCACTCCATTGGAAACCCCACAAGATTATTGGTATTTCGGCCGTCAAATGTCACCCATTGGACCGGGTCTATCTAAACCGCGTCCAGTCCGAATGAACTCACTTACCCGTAAACAAACGAAAGTACTTTTATAGTGAGTTACCGAGCGAGGTTGAATGTTGAGGTGGGCCGTTCTCTCCCCCCCCCCCACACACACAC